AATATTTATTTTTTATTTTTGCATAATACAATCACTGGAACAGAGATATACATTTGATTTTGCTAAAGCACTCAGTCTTCAGCTCCAGCTCTTACACTTTATGCAATCACTGATCCCAAAAGTAAAGTAATGTTTCTTTATTATAAATTGCAGGTCACTCATACAATGGTTATTGTATGCTACTCGGGCTGGATATTTATTTCAAATATATATCACACAATGTTAAAAAAACAGCTGTGCAGGGTAAATTAAACCCGTTGAGTCAGAGCTGTCAGATCTGAGTAACCAATCTTAAAACATTGTATCTACCATAAGTTTTTTCATATACACTAGAGGTTTAATGTTGCAATGTTAGTGTTTTGTTTTAGTTAACATGCCGTCATACGTTTAATTTATAGTTCTGTTATATTTCTAGGGAGGGGGGGAATTGAACATTTGCTATGCCAATAGGAAATTCATGGCTTTGTCAACAGCAATATATCGGAAGAGTTGTTTTAATCAAACACAGGCAGGGAAAGGTCAAAAGATGTAACCTTGTCAAGTACCTATTTTGCTGCAATAATTGATCCTCTCATCACCATCCCAATGAATTTTTTCTACCATTTGATTCAACCTCATATATCTTGGAAGCTTTTGAAGGTGAGATCAAGACAAGTGTGTGAATAGCTATTTATAACTTGCAAGAAAATGTACATGAGGCGTATGGTAGTTTGGTTTGGGGAAAATTACTTTTATATATGAGAAATCTACTACATGGATGGCACAACACGATTTGTAGGACAAAGACTAAGATGTAGTGCCTTGCATTAAACTCTTTATTTAAGTACAGACAGGAATACAGTAATGTATAGAAAAGCAGATTTGATAATATGATCCAAGTGAGTTTGACAAAGGTCAAATAGTTATGGCTATACAACTGAATAATCTAAAAGATGGCAAGCCTTGTGGGGTATTCCCAAAAGTGGTGCAAGAAAGGACAACCAGTGAACCGGCATCAGGGTCATGGGCGCCCAAGGCTCATTAATGTAGCGAAAGTTAACCCTTCTGGTTTGATCACACAGAAGAGCTAATGTAGCTTAAATTGATTTTAAAAAAAACCTAATGCTGGCTATGATAGAAAGGTGTTAGAACACACAGTGCATTGCACTTTCCTCCACCTTCAATAGAGAATTGAGCATCAGAACTGGAAAATGAAGCAATGGAAGAAAGGTGAAATAAGCACAAAATATTGTCTTTGGTGCAAAAATAGTGCATGGTGAAATTTCACAATTATGTGCAAAATACAATGTAAAATATCAGTATTACCTTAAAAGGCCCTAAAAACTAGTCAGGATCCTCTAAGGATTAGTATATATAAAGTGGATCATATAACAAAAAGAACATAAAATGAAGGAAATATCATGGTATAGTATTTAATGTAAAAATAACAATATTAAAAAACATGAATGTATGCTCACACTTATCTATGCACAAAAAAAATGTGGGCCACTTCTCTGACAAACAAGTACTGCACCCAGGATCTATGCAGTAATAGCAGTCGACTGGAAAGGCTCAGTTCATTCAGCATCTTTCATTTACCAGAATTTCAGTTCACCAGAGTCTGTTTGGGTTCGCTCAATGCATTTTGTCCACGTTCAGGACTTTATCGAGGGCTATCAGCTCTTGTGAAATTGTGAAATTGCACAGTGCACTTTTTTACACCAAAGACAATATTTCTATTTAGAATATGCAGTGTTGGAGAGAGAACAGCTCTCACCAAGGTTGTAATGGTTGTAGGGTAAAGAAGGGCCTAACCCAGAGGAGGAGATGATAGGAAGGGCTGAGACAGGATCTGCAGAAGAGCACACCTGGTATCAGTCCCATTACCCTGGTAGCAATGACTAAATTGAAATAATTGGCATAAAGTGCCTTACTCATATAAAGCACAAAAGTACTAGAAAATAAAAAATAGCATACAATTAAAAAAACTTTATTGCCCTAACCGGGTACACACATCTAAATATAACAAGACACCAAAAAGTGAAAAAATTATAATAAGTGCAAAAAAATTAAAATAAAGTATAAAATAGCACCAGTTACTGGAGCTAATAAGTACAAGTTGTACTTGTTACAAAATAGCCAACAAACGATACTGATCTAGATTAAACATAGAAACAGTTTCATTGGAAAGATATACAATGTATATAGTGAGTAGATATTATTAAGTAACCCAGGGGCGTACCTAGAGCATGTGGCACCCGGGGCGGGTCCTGGGTTTGGCACCCCCCCACCCCCCTTCAAAAAAACCTACTACATTTTTTAAATGTGTTTTTTTTTTTTTACATTTTTTAAAATGTATTGCACAAAATTTCAAACTTTTTAAAACCCCTGTCCCTTCTACAAAATCCGTGCACCCCCTCACATACAGTTACAGGCAGACAGTCACACATATAGTCACAGGCAGTCATACACACAGTCCGTTACAAGCAATAACACACAGTCACGCACACTGTTGCAGGCAGACAGTCACATATACAGTCACACACACGGTTACAGCCACACACACACACACACACACATTACAGGCAACATCACACAGTCACAGGCAGACAGTCACATGCACACAGTTACAGACAGGCAGTCACGCACACAGTAACATGCAGACAGTCTCACACACACAGTTACAGGCAGACAGTCACACACACACAGTTGCAGGCAGCATCACACAGTCACAGGCAGACTGTCACACACTGTTACAGGCAGACAGTCACACACACATACACACAGTCACACACACACACACAGTTACAGGCAGTTACACACACACACACAATTACAGGCAGACAGTTACACACACAGTTACAGGCAGACAGTTACACACACACACACACACAGTTACAGGCAGACAGTTACACACACACACACACACACACAGTTACAGGCATACAGTCATACACACACACACACACACACACAGTTACAGGCAGACAGTTACACACACATACACACAGTTACAGACAACAGTCACACACACACAGTTACAGGCAGTTACACACACACACACAATTACAGACAGACAGTTACACACACACACACACACTCTCTTACTTACTTACAGACATTGTGGGCTGGAGAAGGACTGGATTCCTTGAAGTCCTTCCCTGGGTGGAGCCTGGTAGGTGGAGGAGCAGAGATTTCTTCTTGCTGCACCTCCATGTGCAGCAGTAACAGCACTGTGTAACAGCCACTTCCGCTTGCTTGTCTCTGCCTGTGAGCTGTGTGACACCCCAGCTGCCATGGGGCACAGCTCACACATCCCCCTTTAGCTCTCAGACCTAGGTTATAGCACCCCCCTACCTGGTGGCACCAGGGGCGGACCGCCCCCCTCCGCCCCCCCCTTAGTCCGCCACTGAGGTAACCCTATCAATAATTGCCAAGTGGCATAGGAATATGGGTGTATCCTAAAATATATGATCAAGCTCAAAAAAATATTGCCTGTATAACTCTAAATACAGGTAGAAAAATAGGTGTATAAATCGTCAGAGAATACTTAGGGGAAAAGTAAACCATCTGATATTAGAGCAAATGCTTATAATTGCTAGTAAAGAGTAAAGAGTTACTCTTGACAAAGGCGCATCCTAGCGCCGAAACGCGTTGCAGTTATAAGCATTTCTCTGCTGTAATATCAGATAGTTTACTTTTTCCAGCATATATTGACCCAGGGATTCTCTAGGACAGTATTTAGTTATCGATCCTAGGATTAGACCAGGGGTATATCCAAATATCACTGTCGGTTTACTACTATATTTAGAGAGCAGAGGGACCAGCAATACTTGACTAGACGAGATCCCTCATTTGCAACTAATATTTAAGAGTCTACCTACCTTCTCCCCCTTTCTTCTTACAAGGAGCTCTGTTGGGGGGATATTAACTTAATACCTATTTTAAGGTTTTGCAACCTATGCAACTACATCCATATGTAGGATTACGTTTTTGCCTTCAGATACTCATTCTCTGCTATTATTAGAGGAGTACTTTACTAACGGCTGTGTTCTATTATAATCTATTCACAATCAGGTGATACCAGAGGATACTGGAATAGGGGATTTAACTTCAATTTCTAATTTTATCCACTGTCATTTTTCCCGACCATTGTTTAATCACATCTGGGGTATGATTTGGACTTCCCCAAGTATTCTCTGACGATTTATACACCTATTTTTCTACCTGTATTTAGAGTTAGAGGAATCGTCATTATGGACTACGTAAACTACGCTAAAGATCTCAATGTGCAGTTATCAGATAGAACTACTTATATATTGTTAGATGGAGATCCCACTATTAATATTCAGAATAAAATTGAAGATGTTCTATCAATGGGCCTGAGATCGGGCTATATTGATTCCAAATTACATCATTATCTTATTAAGGTATGCCCTCGCACACCTATCATATATTCGATTCCAAAAATCCATAAAAATCCAAAATCACCGCCAGGACGCCCTATAGTGTCAGCCATTGATGGCGTTTTAGAGCCTATTGCAAAATGGCTTGATTATTTGTTCCAAGGTCCAGTTGGAGAACTATCTACCTGTATTAAAGATTCTCAAACTCTCATCACTAAAATCAATGAATTATCTTATGGTAATTACAGACCAGTCTTAATAACAATGGATGTACATAGTCTATACACAGTGATACCACATGATGCTGGGGTAGAAGCTATGCGGCAAGTTTTGATTCAATCTCCTGTGTATCATGGCCCCCCTATAGAGTATGTTTTGGAACTACTTTCTTTGACTTTACAGAATAATTATTTTCGTTTTGAAAATAACTGGTATCTACAAGTGGCTGGCACATCAATGGGCGCATCTATGGCGCCGATGTATGCTAATGCATACATGTATGTGTATGAGAAGGAATACATATTGGAGAAACATCAAAGCAATATAATAGCGTACTATAGATTTATTGACGACCTGTTCATCATATGGAGTGGAACTTGTGAATCAGCCTACGAAATGGTTCAAGATCTCAACCTTTTACCAACACCAGTAAGATTCACGGCGGATATTAGCACAGAGAAGGTGCATTATTTGGATTTGGAAATTTCATTGGGAGCAACACATTTTCAATATTCCCTTTATACAAAACCCACAGATAGGAATACACTCCTCCATTACCAGAGTGCACATCCCAGGGCTTTGAAGAACTCACTACCAAAGGCACAATTCCTAAGAGTAATCAGGAACAATTCGGAAGTAGGAATTAGGGATGTCCAGATTTTTGAAATGAAAAACAAATTTCTTCAAAGAGGTTATGATGAATGTATGTTGGAAACAGCGCTACAAGAAGCATTGAATGCACGCGCTACCGAAACAAAGAAGAAAGCTCTTAATTTGGTCTTCCCTATGGTATACAACCAGTCTACCCCTCAAGTGGCATCGGTCATTAGGAAGAATTGGAGGATAGTGTCGAGTGATGACACGCTCCCGAAAGTGTTTAAAGAAAAGCCGTTAATCTGTTATAAGAGAAATAGAAACCTAAAAGACATGCTAGTACGTACGGATCCCTCTCAAAGCTATTTGAATATAGCGAAGGAACAAATAAGAGGATCTGTTCGCTGTCTTGGCTGTGTGACCTGTAGCCACATGACGCCTGCAAGAACTTTTTTTCATCCTCATAATAATAGAAAATATACTATTCGATATACCATCACTTGCAAGACGACACATGTAATATACAAATTGTCTTGTCCGTGTGGCTTATGTTACATTGGGAAAACAGAGACGGCCATCTGCGAACGAATTAGGGGACATAGATCTTCTATTAGACTGGCATATCGAGACGGTTCCACAGATAAACCGGTTGCAAAACACTTCTTTGAATTAAAGCATCCATTGGCTACATTGAAATTTGTGGCTATTGACCACATCCCTAACCCTAGAAGAGGGTGGGATAGGGGGAGGATGCTACTCAATAGAGAAGCTTATTGGATTCATGAGTTGGACACTGTGTCTCCAAAAGGACTAAATGAAGCTTTGTCGTTACATTCTTTTTTGGCCTGAATGCCCCTCAATGTTCTTTTAATATGTGATTTTATATTTGTGTGTATTTTAGGTCTTTCTATATGCATTTTTCATGATTATTCTGCGACCGTCCTCTTATTATACAATTGACCATATATGTTTTGCAAGCATTAATAATTATTGTTTTAAAATGTGTTCAATAGTTTTTGACGCAGAATATAATAGTGCTGTTGCAACAATTGTTCAGAAAAAATATATATTTTTTGAGTGACAGAGGAGCAGAAAGAAGAAAGAAAAAAAGTTGTGTAAAAAAGCCTTATATAACCATATACTTTTTTTTGATTGATTAGTTTATTAACATTAATCTTCAATCATTGGGGTTATTTAAATGTAAATATTTATATAAATTGTATTGGGTCACAATATGTTTACATTAGCACTGTGGCACTTTAAATATTTTGCACGTATATGGCACTTCAAGAGATGATTTTGATTGCACTTTAAATGACCCATTAGCACTTTATTAATATACATAGATCACATTCACACTTGTCTTCACCAAATTTGGTATGTCAATATTCTATAGAAGCCTAGGTGTTCACATCTAGGTCATTATTTTGATATGTTTGTTTCCATATAGGTTTGTTGTATTCTCTCATTCACAGCCGCGTTACTATGGTAACGACGGCGGCGGCGTACATGTGATGTCACATTGGGGGGCGGAACCTCTCCGCATCACGGCACACGTCCGGCTTAGATGCCGGCTTCAGTATAGTATATGTTAGCCGCGTTACTATAGTAACGGCGGCGTTGCACGTCACGCCGGGGGGAGGGGCTACTCTGCACATGCGCACATTCCCGGCTGGGACGCCGGTCTTCTCATGGCATCTGTGGTGAGTTATTGTAATTTACTGCATCCTATATATGGTTGAATTGTTATGTTATGTTTTTATAATCCTGATGAAAGTCCTTGAACAGGACTGAAATGTCGATTTTTTTAGGAGTACACAATAAAAGCTATGTTTTAAGAATCCGTGAGTGCAACCTTTGATTCAGCTATTTGGATTTTTGGAGCCCTGGGAGTGCACCCGGTTTGCATACATGGAGTTTGAGTGCAAGGTATAGTGTTCTTTTCTTTGTATTTAGAGTTATACAGGCAATATTTTTTTGAGTTTGATCATATATTTTAGGATATACCCATATTCCTATGCCACTTGGCAATTATTGATAGGGTTACCTAATTATATCTACTCACTATTAGTGATGTCCCGAACGGTTCGCCGAACGGTTCGCCACGGATGGCGAACATATGCGCTGTTCAGTCCGCCTCCTATGTCATCATTGAGTAAACTTTGACCCTGTACCTCACAGTCAGCAGACACATTCCAGCCAATCAGCAGCAGACCCTCCCTCCCAGACCCTCCCACCTCCTGGACAGCATCCATTTTACATTAATTGTGAAGCTGCATTCTTAGTGAGCTGTCCAGGAGGTGGGAGGGTCTGAGAGGGAGGGTCTGCTGCTGATTGGTTGGAATGTGTTTGCTGACTGTGAGGTACAGGGTCAAAGTTTACTCAATGATGACGAATAGGGGGTGGACCGAACAGCGCATATGTTCACCGTCCGTGGCGAACCGTTCGACGAACCGTTCGGGACATCACTACTCACTATATACATTGTATATCTCTCCAATGATACTGTTTCTATGTGTAATCTAGATCAGTATCGTTTGTTGGCTATTTTGTAACAAGTACAACTTGTACTTATTAGCTCCATTAGTTGGATCTATTTTATACTTTATTTTCTTTTTTGCACTTTTTAAAGTTTTTCACTTTTTGGTGTCTTGTTATATTTAGATGTGTGTACCCGGTTAGGGCAATACATTTTTTTTCATTTTATCCTATTTTTTATCCTATTTTTTATTTTTGAGTACTTTTGTGCTTTATATGAGTAAGTGACTTTATGTCAATTATTTCAATGTAGTCATTGCTACCAGGGTAATAGGACTGATATCAGGTGTGCTCTTCTGCAGTTCCTGTCTCAGCCCTTCCTATCACAATATTTCGATTTATTTTATGTTTGTTTTGGGACTATAGGATGTGGTTCTATCTTTTAGGCACTTTATTTATATAATGGAAGAATGGTGCCTAGTCTGACCTTTTCACACGCATCTTTCCCCACACTCATACATGTGCACTATCTACCCAGGGCCTTATATATGAGTATGTGTCTCGACCCTTCTACTAAAACAAAATTGTGCCTGACTAGCAAATGTCACAACTTGTATTGCATACTGAACTTCTATATACCTTGATTCTGCTGTTGTGGCGTACCAAGGCTGTTTGTTAATTTTGTGTACAACAAAAAAATTAAATGAAATATAAAAATAAAAAAGTCACTAAAAGCAGGACTATTTTGACATCACTTCCAACACCAGCTTAAGGTGATGTAACATGTAACATAAATGCAAAATCCAGCAGAAAGTTAATTATCATAGAGTAACCAGATTGAATGCCTCATTTGTCCAGCAACTGTAAATCCTGATGCATATTAGTGCAATAGAGTGCCTTAGTATGATGGTTTTTAAATTACACAAATTCACCAATAGTGACAAAATGAAAGAAATCTGTTTATTCTGATGCTGGAACTACCATGAGAAATTGTCACTTCTTTAAACATATAAATACATTTACCTAATTTGAGTGTGTGTGATAAAAAGGAAAATACATTTGAACAGACAGATATAAAAAACAAAAATGCTGCAGTTCTTGTTTGGTTCTGAATTCAGATTATTGTCTCAAAGGTGGGTTATTTACCACAACTAATACTGCGCATTGTGCCAGTCATCATTTGGAACTCGTATTAAGAAATTAATGGTGGATTACAGTAATGCAGTGTCTCCACTAGCAACTCGCAACACCAACATGAGTCACTCAAATAAGTCTTCTTCTTTACCTGGTTACACGGATATGGAGCATCTCACAGATAAAGAGAATTATGGAGACTCTCCCATAAAATCCAACGCAGTGAGGAAACGTGTTATCTCTCCCACCCAAAATGCTACTGTGCCAAAACACAAGTATGGTTCATCATGTCTAAAAAGGTTCCCAAGATGTGGCTCAGAGTTTAAGCAGACTGTGCCAACAGTATATTTTTTATAAAAAGGATGCTGTTTATGTCACTCCTCTTGGATAGGAAACAAAAAAAGGAGTCTAAGTCTTCCATGCCAAAATTAGGTGAAGACTTGTTTTTTTTCTCATAATAAACCCACCAAAAGTCCAGAAATGAAAGATGTCTATAAATTCACCCAAACTAGAAAACAACCCACTAAGCAAAAGGCAAGCAGTAAACGATGGAAGGTATCCCCAAAGAATGAAAAATCAATTTCAAAAAGTCCTCCACCTGTCAAGCCAGCTGTACCAGTGGAAGAATATGTGGATGGTGGTAAAGTGGGGGTTCTAGGGCTTAAAATGAAACCAAAGCTGAAGCTTACAGTTGAAGCTGCGTTTTTGCTACAAGCAAGATGCCACATTCTGCTCCCAAGAGGCCTCCAATTATTACGTTTCTTCAAACCTCAAAATCTACATCAAAGCTAGGAAACGTTCTTAATGCAATCCACTCTGAGGATAACATCCGAGAGAGATGCATGAAGGAAGTCCACAGGAAGGGGGTGCTTGTAAATAAGTCTTTATCAGATGAAAAGTATGAAGTCAACATAAACAAAGGGACGGGGGACCAAGTAACAGAAGAAAATAATGAAAAGTTGCATTAGTAACAATGATCATCACAAGAAGCCAAAGAGTCCATCTAATCCCACAAATCTAGGGGGTGGTGCAGTGGTGTCATAGGTGGTTCCTGATTCACAGTTTGTCATGGATGAACCGATATTGAAATCATCTGACAAAAAAGGCTCCACATTTTATCCAATTTTCAGCACCCCTGCTGCAGGTCGAAAGAGGCCTTTTGATTTCCATGAAGATTTGTCATCTCCCGTTTGCTCCAGCACTCCATTGGCCACTCCCATTGGTTTAAACCTAATCCACAAACCAAGCAAGAAAAATAAAGAGGCAAACAAGAAGTCTGAAGATCAGCTCATTAGATGCAGGACAAAAACACTTTGGTCCAGTAGCTTTCATTACACGTGGGATGATTTAACCTGCAGCAAGTCTGCCGGTGGCTGATGGAGGGCATTCGATACATGGGCTGGAAGAAAGAGAGAGTGGTGGCCAAATACTGGAATGGAAAAATGTTATCAATTGCTTTGGATGATCCTAAGTATGCACTAAAAAAGGAACCTGTTGACACAGAGCTAGGGTTTCAACAGAGCACCCTGGTGTGCCCAAAAAAGACTAAAACCTGCCTGTTCATCTCCAATGAGAAGAAAATAGTTGGATGCGTGATTGCAGAACCAATCAAACAGGCATAAAGAGTAATTGCTGAACCCATCTCTCTAGTGTCCATTAGTAGAGATACTTTGGAGATGCTCCACCACTCCACAAGAAACCATATGTGAGATCAGCAGAATCTGGGTCTTCGCTTTAATGCGCAGAAAAGGCATTGCCAGGAGATTAATGGATGCATGAAGAGTTCCTTTATTTATGGATCATACCTCACAAAAGATAAAATCACCTTCTCAGACCCAACCCTGGACGGCAAACAGTTTGCCAGCAGATACTGCAAAATACTTGATTTCCTTGTTTACAATCTTGTCAGCTAGGCCACCAGTTTTACTTGTTAGCTTTTTTTTTTTTCAGTGACATTGTAAACCATTTAGGATGTCAGCGACTGTTGCACTTTCTGTTTTTTTTTACCAGTTGTTTCTTCTGGCTGTTGCTTGGCATATCTGTTATCTCTTGTGGCATGTTTATTTTTTTATATATATATTTAATAAATTACATACTATAAAATACTTTGGAGTTAACGTTAGTTACTAAAATGTTTGCTGTGGGCAGTCACATCATATCTCCAAAAGCTACACCTTGTTTGGCAATTTCTTGCCAGTTAGGTTGGTCCCAAACAGTGTAAGAGTCATTATATTTTATACATGTGGACAATGGATCCATTAATTTAGAGGTACAGTAAATCAGTATATTGATAGTAAGAGCTGATCCATGTGCATGTATGCTATCCTCATTTTAGGCCTCATGAGAATTTATATCAATTTTAATAGGTGAAGTTCCATATTGTGAAATAAAATTGAGTACTAGTGTGTAAAAAAGAAAAAGTTTGATTAAAAAATTTATAACAGGCTAACTAAAACAGTATCACAGATAGTAGAATTGACTTTTATATTTGGCATAAAGGTTAATGTTAAACTACTAGCATAAACTCCTACACTATACAAGGTATGCACAAATCTTGTACTCATAAATGTGAAACAAGCCCAAAGTCTCTATTAAAGTATGTACACATCTGCCAATGTAAAAGCTGGCAAATAGGCATCCACATAAGTTAAGTATGTTTATTAACAGAATTAAAAAAATCTGAAACAGCAAGTATTGCTCAATGAGGTAAGGAGGTAAATAGGAGCATCCAACAAACTTATTGTTTTCTAGTGAAGCATGAGTGTTATGGGATGCATTCTTTGTTAAGTGAAATGCTGATCTGACTTAAATTAAAATACTTTTATTAAAATGTAGATGAAGACATGGTAAA